ATTTATATAATCTCTACTCACGACGGGGAATTAACAGCACTCGACTGGAATGATGAACCTGAAAAAGAAAATTGAAATGGTATGCAACCTTTTCTAAAGAGGATACGTCATATTTTCCAAAGAACGGTATGTCAAGATAAGTGATTACAAAAGGTACGTTATCTTTTCAAAAAGGTACGATATCTTTTTTTTTTTTTTTTGCAAAAAAGGGACGTCATCTTTGAAAAAAAAGGATGTCAAAAAAAGGTATACCATCTTTTTTAAAAAGTATGTCATCTTTTCAAAAAAGGTATGTCATCTTTTCAAAAAAAAGGTATACCATCTTTAAAAAAACGTATGCCATCTTTTCAAAAGAAAAAAAGTATATGATCTTAAAAAAGGGTATGACATCTTTTCAAAAAAAGGTGTTATCTTTTCAAAAAAAATAAGGTATACCATTAAAAAAAGGTATGTCATCTTTTCAAAAAAAAGATAAACCATCTTATAAAAAAGGTATATCATCTTTCAAAAAGGCATGTCATCTTTCCAAAAAATATGCCATTTAAAAAAAAAAAAAAAAGGTAAGTCAATTTTTTCCAAAAAGTATAGCACTTTTTCAAAAATGGCATATCCTCTTTTCAAACACAGATGGGTTTCCTGGAAGGCTTCCCCATCGATCGACTTCTCCGCTCGAGCTGGGTGGCGGTCTGCTGGACATGCCTGTGTCTCTGTTTGTCAGTTTTACGTGTGGAAATGGTATATGTGTATGTATGTATGTATGCATTTATGTGTGGATGGATGGATGTAAGGATGCGTCGTGCATGCAGGTATGCATGCATGTATGTATGTGTGTGTGTATCTATATGTGTGTATGCGCATGTATGAATGCATTATGCATGTGTGCATATATGTGTGTGTGTGTTGGTGTGTCTGCTTACGTATGTATGTATGTATATTTATTAATCAGTTAATTAATCTACCCATCTACCTCTCTTAGAAAGACAGATAGGTACGCAAATAGTTGCGCAGACAGATAGATCTATAGATAGATAAACAAATGAATCGGAACTTCACAAATGCATATTCAAGAAATTTCTTCTTCTTCTCTAAATCAATACGACAAAATAGCTTCGTTAAATTAGATCACCCCCCGCCCCCCTTCCCTCAAGAGAAAATCCTATTCACTACCCGCATGCAATCATTTGCAACGTGCATATTCGTCGACCATTTCTATACAGCTATTTGTATTTAGCAATATTTCTGACCATTCAATAATCAACATTATGTCATCCATTCTGCCGTAATCAGATATTCAGCTCGAGGAGTGGTTTTAGAGTTGCATATTGAGCGTAATGACTTAAATAAGGAAAGCATGGAAGGATATGTTGATTTTGGAAATTGCATTGAGAGCGCCAGGTATCGAGGTGTGATAAGGTGCTTTTCAAGTGCGCTTTTAACTTGAGCCTTGGGTATTTACCTTTTATGTTGGTTGTCAAATACTGCGGTTTTCTTATTACCTTGGCTTTTATTTCTTAACTTGGCTATTACCTGTTATCTTGGCTAGCACCTGTTATGTTGGATATTGCCACTTACCTTGACTATTAGCCATTATCTTGGCTATCAACTGTTAATTTAGGCTAAGGTTTTTAACTATTACTTTCTCTATTGCACATTACATCGGCTATTGCTCATTATCTTGCCTATTACCTTTTAACTTGCCTATCACTTCCTACCATGGCTATTGGCTATTCCCTTGACTATTGCCTATTTTGCACATTACATCGGCTATTGCTCATTATCTTGCCTATTACCTTTTAACTTGCCTATCACTTCCTACCATGGCTATTGGCTATTCCCTTGACTATTGCCTGTTACACTTACTATTAGTTATTACTTTGACTATTAACTATTACCTTAGTTCTTATCTATTACCTTGGTTGCTACCCAGTACCTGTTACCTTGGCTATTATTTCTTAACTTGGCTATTACCTGTTATCTTGGTCTAGCCTTTTTATGTTGGATATTGCCACTTACCTTGACTATTAGCCATTATCTTGGCTATCAACTGTTAATTTAGGCTAAGGTTTTTAACTATTACTTTCTCTATTGCACATTACATCGGCTATTGCTCATTATCTTGCCTATTACCTTTTAACTTGCCTATCACTTCCTACCATGGCTATTGGCTATTCCCTTGACTATTGCCTGTTACACTTACTATTAGTTATTACTTTGACTATTAACTATTACCTTAGTTCTTATCTATTACCTTGGTTGCTACCCAGTACCTGTTACCTTGGCTATTACTTGTCACCTTGCTTATACCTATCACTATGGCTAATGGTTATGGCACTAGTTATCACCCATTGCATTGCCTATTATCTGCATGCAACGATATGGTCGATTGCTTTATGAAGTTGTTTCGTAATTTCGCTGAAGGATCGGTGTGCGAGTGTTCTACGTAAGGTTGCTTGTTTGCGTGTATTTGTGTTTGCTTCTATGACTTCGTCTTTTTGTATTT